TATATTAACTAGCCAGGCGAAATTGGTTGGCGTGTTTTCTCATTTTCAGGAGTTCTCTTCGCGCTTGAAAGGTGAAGCTCGAGTTACATCATTTACAAGTCGACAGCCATCCAAATTAATTAATTAGCATTGCAACCGGGCTTGAGTTTTCTGAGAACCATTTGGCCCGCCAGAACTGGCCTCTGACCCAAAGTTGAAAAAGCTTACGCTTTGTATCTCTGCTGTGCGATGTTTCTGCTACATACATACGCAGTGTACCAAAGAACCTCTTAACTCATTCGTGGCTGGTAATTTCGTAGAAACTTTGAAGTAAAAACTCATAAGGTATTGTAATTAATACAAAGATAAAAGTTCGATAATTAATCCTCCCTCTTACACACATACACACACACATAGTTTATGCACAGTAGTTAAATTATACCTATCGTTCAGAAATATGTATACTTTTTGAATTTTTGTAACTACCTGAAAAAAGACACGAAATGTTTCATAAATTCTAACAAAGTCTGTGTATTTCAGTTTGCACATCATTATATGTATATATTTTGCCAATAATTCATCAAGTATCTCGTCAGTAATAATAAAGAGTAGTTGTATCTTTCTCTCATTTATATACTTGGGCGTAAAATTTTCGGGAAATTTTGTAACACCATGGAAAGGAATTTTAGAAACAACAATCTAGTGGAGCTTATTTCAAAATGCGAAATAATGCCTCTATTCTTATAATCTTGCATTCAATTTCATTTTGTTCAAAAATGTTTTCTCATGATATAGCAGGTGGAAAAATTAGTTAAACAATTTGAATAATCTTCATTTATTAAACATTTACGTATAGTCCAATTAAATAATTCATTAAACAATCTAACTAAACTATTAGTCGAATATATTTAATCTAATTTGTGTTGATTTAATTACATAATTTAATCATGAAGCATTCACGATGTTTGTTTTTGCATCATTGTTATTACGAAATAATACAGATACACCGACAATGTTTATTTACATTACTTGTCGCGTGTAATTAACATTAGCAATGCCACTGCAAAGTGTATATTATACATTTCTTGAAATATAACAGCAAATGAACTTATCACTGCCAATTATTCACGAATTATTTAACTCTATAAATGGTAGCCGAACGAAAAATTTATTTCTGAAAAATATTTCGCTTCGAATATACTTCATACACTTTCGTTACGATACAATAATATAATGTATTTCGTAAATCCCCCCCAAAACGCGATCTGATAATTTAAAAAAAAAAAAAAAAGAAAAAAATGAAAAGTCAGAAAAGCTTCCAAAAGGACATCATGAAATCGTATTCGAAATTCGAGATCCTCAGGAGAACACGTTTCAGTGTCCGTGAAACATCTCTAAAAATGGCGTTCTACGTTCAGCAATTTCCTTGCAGTCTGTACAACGACGACGATCCGGTCGGATCCATCGATTCATCCTTGGCTCGAACCACGGGGGACGAGCTTTCGATTTCCGGGTCGGACGTCTCGGCCAGCCGGATAAGGAACGACAAATGGACATCGTTTAACCCACATAGATAAAAGGCAAGGTATGCGTGTCCATTCGCGTTCGTTCGTTCGTTCGTTCGTTCGTTCGCGGTTACGTACCACGAGTTAAAGATTCGTGTATATAACGAGGGTGAGTTTTACGAGGTAGTTCGAACGGGTTGTAATTCAATTTAATGTCAGAGTCGGGGAATTGTGGACCTTGTTCACCAAGATTTCGTCTGGACGTCTTTAAATCACCGATGACGAAGCAGATATTGCGAGACTCTCTCTCTCTCTCTCTCGAACACCAGATTTCCTTGTTTCCCTGCTTTCGTTTCAGATCGGAGAAACTTAACTAGCATGAGATTTTAACGAGGATGTTACCATTAACGAGGATGTATTCTATATTTCTTCTTTCGTGGAATGATTTGGAGAATCTGTGTGAGAATACTCGAGGAAAGCAATTATTCCCCAGTTCGGGAATCGTGACAGATCTAAATTAACTTACTCGTGTTTTTTTGTTTATTTACAGCGAAGGTATTCGAACACTCGTCATAGAACCATCTTCAAGGATATATCATACGTTGGAAGACATTTCAAGGTTTTATTAATTACGATGGACGACTTGAAAATGTATGAAGAAGTTAGGATATTTATTTTAAACGTTGATTATTATTAAAAAACTGAAACACAATTTGTGAACAGCCTTAATCAATTAAGGACCCTAATCGTTTAAGGATCAGCACTTCATTTGCAATTTATATCTGTTATAGATATACTCTAATTTTTAACATTGAAATTATGCAATTGGCAATTAAATTTTTTTAGCTGGATTCTGTAATTTTGGGTGATTTAAAGTAACTGAAGTATTTATAATATTATGATAAATTATTGTTCGATCCTAGTTTGTTAAGCATGTAGTAAATATTAAAGATGACTCTATTTAAATCGCTATTTAAATATTTTTATCTTCACGAAACATATACTTATTACCAGATTAAATATCTTGCAATTTCTACGTTACTTTGGATCTAATTCAAGCTTTACCAATATAATCACGATAATCGACTGCGATATCAGTGGAATGTCGAAATTTTCTATACGACACGAATGATATATTCACAAAGAAAGTTTCTACGAGTGTTCGCTTCCGTAAGTAATGAAAAGAAATATCGAGAATTGAAGCTATCAATTATCATGAATTAGAAATATCACGATAAAGTAATAAAAGAACGATGTGTCAGTCGTGACTTGTCACAGTTGTTCCACGAGATCGCTGAATCGCCGTGACGTGTTAATAACGTCTACGAGTTAAACACGATCGTAACAACTGCGTGCGTGCTCGTGCCACGTTTGACAGACGTGTGTATCAATTAAGAATCTGTTGCTAAAATCCCGAGGCGAAGCAAAGATCCATGGAGAAGTATCGAACACCAGTCGACACCTCGTTAACGAAGCATCCCGTTACCAAAGTGTTGCTTCCGTGAATTAACAGTCCGCAAATCGGGTGAACAAACGATACCGATTGCGAAAGCAAAGTAAGAGCTCCGACGTGCCAATATTATACACCCGTTGCTCCTTGATTCGTCCAGGCAGTGGCGAACGTTCCACTCCAGAATGGTTCTCGCTCTCGTCACGAACAGCTAGCGATTCGTCTCTGCCTGTCCGTCGGCGTTGAATTGATCGCTTCAGGCCTGAAAAGTCGCTTGGCCGATGGCTGGTACTGTCTTCCTGACGTTCACTCTCGCTTGCCTGTCGCCGTGTCTGGCGCAGATGCTCGAGGACAAGGACGATCTCACGGGGAGAAATGGAAGCAAGCTGCTGGCAAGTTGCTGCTCGCGGCGACCGAGGGCTCTTGTTTTCCCAGATCCATCTCAGCTCCTGGTACGTAGAGAACACCGTTACAGGTTACATTCCGCTCGGCGAGGCTAACGAGCTGTTCCCGCGGCCAATCGAGGATTCACTCGCGCGTCGTTCAAGTGCTCGCGATCGGTTTTCCGCTTTTTCTTCCGGCGATCCGAGCCGCAATTCGAGCGAACCCTCGTCGTACGCGCGCTTCGTTTTCGATCGGTTGCGACAGTGGGGGGAGCAGGGGGAAGATTTCCAAGGATTGTTACAACCCTATGCAAGCGTCACGCCGAGAATCAACGTTTGAAATTTGTTTGAGAAACAGAGGATAATAAATTTTGCGATTTCGAATATACTCTCGTTTGTAAATAGCGTAATAAAAGTATAAGTGATCAGGCTTTTGGCGATATTCAAATAATTCGTACAGATTTTTGAAATGTATTTTGCATCGTTGTCTTGTTCTTCTTTAAAACGTCAATCTTCCAAATAATTCTCACGTTTTATCGTTGGCACAATGCAATCAGATATTCAGTCTTCAATTGATTTACTTTTTCTTTTTTCACATAAATTCATCGTTTTGTGTCGAAGACTTTGAATTTCTAATTTCGTTATTTGATAACATTTATTTTAAATTACATGTTATTAATTTCACGTCAATAGTTTAGTAATAAAGTAGATGTCGAATAAACGAGAATTTGTTCTTGGAAACTCGTCAGTCTAATAATTGGGCAGGGAAAGATTTTTGTAATTGATTAATTTGTTAGCTTACTAAATTTATTACTTTAGCCTATTAGCTAATTAACTAATTTAACTAATTAGTTTACTTCCGTTAGTATTACTATTCGTATATACAGTATAATTTATCGTGTCAGTATGTTTAATTAATTGGTGTAGTCAGGATTTTAATTGAGAAAACTGATGGAAGGAATCGAGAAAGTAATTCTTATGTAATAATATCATTGCGTTTTATAAATTATTATATTCATAGATGAATTATTGCATTCACAATGCGCAAGAAAGTCAGGAAAAATTAGCTGCAGTTAATATAAAGCTTTTTTTTTTAAGTTAAAAATTAATCTCCAGATAGAACATTCTCGAATGAAATGAAACGAAAAATTTTGCAAATTTCGCACCTGATGAAATTGAGAAAGAGTATCAGTTGCAATTTTATATATATATATATATTTTTTTTTTTCAATTCGCGTAACGCTAACACATTCGTGGCACACGATGATACTAATTGCAAGAGTTGAAACGCAAGCGCTTTCACACTGGTTACATCTTTTTCACAAAGCGCGCGTAATTTAGAAATTATTCGCGAGATTTTTAGACAACGTGTTTCCAGATTTTCACTTTTGCACACCATCACAGTGAATTATCTTCGTCGTAAAGCTCCAAGGGCTCGGCATCACAGTTGAACTTTCCGCTTTGAGCTGACTAAACCACTGCGCTGGCGCTGTCTAAACCAACAGCGGAATGTCTCTGTTCCCTCCCGATATACAGGGTGTCCAAATTATCTCCGAAACTATTCGTCAATTAAAAAATGCATTTTTTCTGTTTTGAGAAGGAAACAGGTCATTTTCTGTAAAAAGTATTAATCTATTAATTAGGAAAAAAAACTATTAATTGAGGAGATAGTTTAACTTTAATTTTATAAAGTTTATCATGTGAAAGACAGGCGCAGTATTCTTGCCTTCTTGTCTTTTATGCATAAATTTTATAAGAAATATCTCCCAAACTAATAGATTTTGGACATAGATAACTCTTTTTCAGTTGGTTGATAACTTCTCTTGCAGCACCTGCTTGAAGAAAATAATACCTTCGTATCTCCGTCTATTACTAAAATTACTGCCTTCTCGA